TTACAGGTCCACTGGAGATTTTACATTTTTCCTCTAGCTTTGCCTTGTTGCCTATAATACTGTTGAGTTAAATACACTTTTGCAGAATTCTTATACAAAAAATAGAAAACTTCTAAAGGTGAAAAGCCATGTGCTAATCATAGAAAGTTAGGGCTGGAAGGGACCTCAGGAGGTCATCCAGTCCACCCCCCTGCTCAAAGCAGGACTGTCCCCAACTATATCATTCCAGCCAAAGCTTTTGAAAACCTGCAAGGATGGAGAGTCCACAACTGGCTGGACTCTGCAGAGAAGGACCTGAGGTTACAGTGGACAATAAGCTGAATATGTGCCAGCAGTGTGCCCTTGCTGCCAATAAAGCTAATGGCATACTGAGCTGCACTGGTTAAGTGTGTTGCCAGTAGGTCTGGGGAAGTGATTCTGCCACTCTATTTAGCACTGGTGGGGCCACATCTGGAGTACTGTGTTCAGCTTTGCCCCCTCCTTCCCCCCACTCCAGAAAGGACATGAACAACTTGAAGAGAGTCCAGTGGAGGGCAACAAAAATGGTGAGTGGGCTGGGGCACATGACTTCTGAGGAAAGACTGAGAGAACTGGGCTTATTTAGTCTAGAGAAGAGGGGACTTAACAGCAGCCTTCAACCCTTTTCTCAGTGGTGGCAGATGACAGAACAAGGAGCAATGATCTCAAGTTGCAGCAAGGAAAGTTTAGATTAGATATTAGGAAGAATTTTCTTACTAGGAGGGTAGTAAAACACTGGAACAGGTTACCCAGAGAGGGATTGTTTAGATAACTTCTCTCTGTCTGTGTCTCTCTCTCTGTCTCAGCAATGTGCACCATAATAGTGAAACCTGATTTCATTCAAGATACCTGGAATTAGTTGGGATGACTTGGTGGGACATATCAGAGAAAAGGAAGCTGACCTTCACTTCAGAGGGGAAAATAGTGGGAGTGGAATAATGACTTAAGTACCCAGTGCGGTGTCAAGGAAATTTGGTGCCTGGGGCAAAGCACGCAGCTGCAGCCCACCCTTGCTCTGTGCACAGATCTGGGGGCACATGCGCCCCCCCCCCCATGCTTGTGCAGGAGCGCACGCAGCAGTGGGAGCCGCCCTCCTCGCCACCCCATGAGCCACTCACAGCTCCACCCTGCCCCAGCTGGTACCCCTTCAGCTCCCAGGGCAGTTGCCCCGCTCAACGCCACCCCACCCCTTGCTACAGCACTGTAAGTACAACAACATCATTTCCATTAAAACCAATGGAACAACCTTAATCAATGAGAAAGAAGTAAGTTTAGTTAGTTGATAAGGACAAAGGGATTACAAGCCCTTTCTTGAAAACTATCCAGTACATAAGAAGAGTTGATATAGGCCAATGTAAGCACAGTGAACCAAGCAGCCAGAATGTGTGTGTTTAATCACACTGCCAGTGACAAAAACTAAAGAAGTAGGGAGTTTTTATGTGTGTGTGTTGTCACAGGCCAGCTGGGCACTGTGAGTATATCAATTTAGTTGCAGACTGACCGAGTACTGGGCTTTTTGGTTCGGGATCAAGGAGGAGATGTTGGGAAGGAAAGCAACAACAAGTTTCACTTATAAAAAAGGATGAATTTTACTTATAACAACAAAAGATATAGCTTGCACATATGACAGTTAATAAAAAGGTTAAGTTAATAAACAGACAACATAACAATACAAGTTAAAATTGACAGTGATAATAAAAACAGATAGAAATCAACCAAGAGTTCCCACTTGGTTAGTAACTTGTTGATAGTTTCTCAGTTAGAAACACACCAAGTTGATTCAGCGAAGTCAGGCATCCCCGATTTACGCTGTCAGAAGGAGAACCAGAGGAGAACCCTCAGTCTGGATCTGGTCTTTGTTCACCTAGGGAATAGGAGAGATCCAGGGGAATGGAACAGCAATGACCCTTCTGTTCCGTTGTTCCTGAGGGTTACTTAGTGTGCGTGTTCTTTTATATCCTATTTATGCTAATTTTTTTGTTATATAGCCATTCATAATGTGACTCTATAGCTGTTATCCTATGGGGTTAAAAGGTGTTAGAAATCATTACAATAAGTTACTGGCCAAGCTTGGGTTTACCCAATAAACAAATCACACCACATTACTTTGGGGTCTGAGATTAACATGTCCCTGCCTAAGTTTATTTTACTGTCTCTAAGCAGAAAAAGATTATAAAATTAGCAAGTCTGCGGTTATATCCTTTAGTTCTGCTTTTTAAAAGTCATGCTGTTTCAAGATTAATATAAAAATTATATATAATTCTTGTGGGTTATACTCCAGACAGACAAAAAACAGTTTCATAAGTTCTATTTCAGATATCTTCAAAAAGCATTTCTTTGTTATAACCTGCTCATTAACCCTTCTGGTTCTGGCTGTCACTCTGTGTGTGTGTGTGTGTGTGTGTGTGTGTGTGTATGTTTTCTCAGATCAACTGTATAGTTGGGAGAGATGTTGGATAAGTTTTTAAGCACAATGCATCTGGCCTGAAAGCTTGCAAAGAACTTTTTTCCAACTACTCAGTTGGTCTAATAAAAGATATCACATCTACTCAAAGAACCTTGCCTGCCTGTGGCCTTCAGGACAACGTTCACATGGAACTAACCTGCTTAGAACTACTGAACAAGTGAGCTCTCCATTGTCCAACTAAGATATGTTGAAACATATTGCACCAGATCCTCAGATAAAGTAAAACATTGTTGAAGTTCATAGACCATATGCCACCATGCAAAGGATTGCAGTAAGGATATATTACTGGGTAGATGGAAAAAAGTTTTGCATTTTACTTCTAAAATAAGTAAGTTTTTCAGTGGAACAGATTGTATGAGTTTCGGGTCTAAAGATTCTAGGTAAGCATAGAACCACATGCATGTAATTGTGTTGCTATTATATTGAGCGGGCCTTAAAAAACAAGGGCCCATATGTAGACATGACAAACTGATTTCTCCGAACTGCTCTGGAGGGAGAAGCAACAAAAATGATTTTTACAATTCTTCCATTCTCTAAGGTGATCTGGGAAGGGACCAGTCTATTCTTCGCTGTAAGGGGTAACAGCTTAAGGAATACTTTTATACTAGTGCTTTGGACCTCAAAACATAACAGAGCCACAGACCACTGCCATTTAGGGCTGTTATGATCTTTTGCTTCCTCCTTGGGGTAGCTCTCTGTGCTGACATACGAGTCACTATGGTGCGTCTATGCCACTTGATGCTCCATGGAGATTTCCAGGGACAACATCTGCCACACTGGACTTGATCATCTAACCCTAAATATTCCATAGGAACCCCAGAGTAGGGGTTTGCTGAACATCATTTGTCTAAATGAATTATCTCCATCCTCATCTGCTCATGTACACTAAGTTGCATCCCAGTTCTCCATATGGATAATGCTTCCAGCCCAGTGCTGGCTACAACTTGATTCAATGCATTTTATAGGTAGATGAATTCACAGTGCACAAAGCAGGTCTGGTTAAAAATGAAGGGAATAAACAATTGGGATTTTTTTCTCCCTGATTTTCTTTTTTTCAATTAAACAATGTTTTGGGGTTTTTTCCTTTTGGCCTCTTTTTTTCCTCTAAGGGAAATTCTAAGGGAAATGGAAGGAAGAAAAAGCAAAATATGAATTATTGGTACTTGTTAAAATTCAGATGCTGTTAGTGTAATCCTTTATGCTAAAGTTAAAAGAGAAGTCAACAGAGATGTAGTTTTTGAGAAAAGATAAAATACTGCAGAAAATAAAGCTTCACAGGGTGTTTGGGGTTTTATAATAATGTGTTTTAATCATTGTTGTCCATTCCTGACTTCTGTCTAGCGAAGTGTTTCACCTTTTCTCTAGAGTTAGGAAGTTTCTCCTTCTCACTTTTTGAAGGGAAAGAATTTGTCATGGTTGGTGATTTGAGGAAATATGTTTCTAATGCTTTCTGGTATTGTGCACCGTGGGAAAGGCAGTATTTCTTCATTTTTCCCACGTTGGTTTTACGTGTGGTCTTCTGTTAAAGCTTCTGCAACTGCTTTATATTCATGTTGGATCCACGCTGATTTTAATCTGTGAGCCTGAATATTCAAGAGGGCTCTGCAGCTGCCCAGTTCATTGCTGCTTTGTTGTGGGGGTTTTTTTTAACATTTCCTCCGACCGTCTTAAGCGATGGGAGAAGTAAAAAACAGCGGAAGGGATCTCCTCTTAAGACAACTGCTGCCACTACTACTCATGGAAATACCTGCGCTCAGTGGGAAGGGGGGGGAGTTATCATCACGGTGGATCTCTTGGCTCATGAGAGCTTCTCCCATCCCATCCCATCCCATCCTACCCGGGGACGCTGTCATGGGATTTACCGACGAGCAGCACGGGATGAGAGAAGCTATCACGAGAAGACACCTCATGGCAGCTTCCCCGGGTCCTGCTCGGGGATAGACGGATCTCGTCCCACCCCGCCGGCCCCGGGACGGATCCCGTCGCCGCTGCTCCCGCCAGGCGCCTCCTGCAGGCGCTTCCCCTGTCCCGAGCGCGGCTCCCGCGCTGCCCCAGGGCGAGGGCGGGGACGGGGCCACCCCCGGGGGCGGGGCCA